CAAGGTTGAGAAACACTGGATCATACAGATTCCTTTTCTGAAAAGACAAGACCCCTGCCTATACTCTTGCAGGAATAAAGGGCACAGGATTGATATTACGGATTCATTCTGCTATAATATGGATGATGGAGTTCTGGCATAAATTACTGTCTACATTGTTTCCAAAGGATGGGGGACTTCTTCATAGTTCCAGTCTCTATTTTAATTCAGTTGCCATTTTATCTGAATATGGGGTAAGCCCTTCTTTGTTCATCAATCCAGGATACTAAACCAGCTGCCAGCAATTGGTGGACCTAGGCAAACACGCAATTGCTACCTCCAGTCCCAAAGACATTTATGATTTATTTAAAAACTTTGGCACGCCAGATGACCATTCAATTCACCTCTATGGACAGGCAGATTCTGGCCACATCATAGTCTAAATTATTTCACTATTCTAAAGTCATAAATTCCAACAGGCAGTATTGCAAAACTGCTAGCAACTCTTTCCCACGAGGCTTCTGGAATTTAGGCATGAAACTCTGTAAATAGTCTAGTGCATTACAATGAAGGATTAAAAATCCTAAACAATTTCATCAATTCTTTTCTGCTGGTATTTTAAATGGTGCCATCTCACAGACATTAATAACTCCAGGAATCTGGGTCAAGTCAATGCTGTCAGCTGTTATATAAAGTTGCAACAACTTTGAGAGATAAGAAAATTATGAGAGCCTTTCACAATTTAGGGCAGGACCCCGCCATCCTGAGGCTACAGACTGGTATCGGACCGTGGCCTGTTAGGAACCAGGCCGCACAAGCAGCAGGTGACCAAGTGAAGCTTCCTCTGTGCATGTACAGGATCTAGGCTGCATGCGAACCCATCCCCCCTCCCAGTCCATGGAAAAATTGTCTTTCACAAAACTGATCCCTGGTGAGAGAAAGGATGGGGACCGCTGATTTAGGGGATTTGTTTCTTCTGCAGTAGCTTGTGCTTGATCTGGGTAACCAGCTAAAAGTTTCTCAACTTTCTCCCCAATTACGTAACATTATTAACATTATGTTCTATCAACCTGTCCAGGACTAGAGCAACCATTTAGCTAAGCCAGGCTGATTTTGTTGTAGTAGTTAAGGTGCTGGTGTAGAAACCAGGAGACTGAGTTTGAGTTCCGCCTTCGCATGAAAACCAGTTGGTTGACTTTAGGTTAGACACTCTCTCAACCCAACCCACCTCACAGGGTTGTTGTTGTGAGGAAAATAGGAGGAGAAAAGAGTATTATGTTGCCATCTTGAATTACATTAAGAAAAAAGATGTTCTGGCAATGGCATCTACAATCCTTGCTCTGTCTCTGCAGAAAAAGCTAATTCAAAATCCTTGGTGCTCTCTAAGCATTCAGTCTATCTTTCTTCAACTTAATCTTTGTAGTCCCTAAGTCTGTTTCTGCCTTTCCTGCAACCATGCTGCATTTCTCTTTTATCTTGGAAATCTTTCAAAAGTGCATTTTAAATCTGTTACATTGCTCCTCCAACTTTTTATACTATTCATTCAATCTCCATTTATTTACACCACAAAGGTCATACACCTTGAACAGGATTTTCTTGCTAATATGTCAGGGTTCTACCCCCAACAAAAGAAAACTCCGAGGCTTGAGTTTCCTCAAAGTTCCATTTTATTAGAGATGTCATATTGGTACATCTGGGAAAACCTGAATTTGAAAGTTTCCAGACTTTCCCCACCCAAAGGAAAGTTCAAGTCCCTGCCCAACACCCACATGTCCATCACATGGTCCAATCAAAGCACTATCCCAACTGGAGATGCCTCCCAGTTCTAGCCCTCCAGGTGAAGGGCAAGATGTCCTTGACTCTCTGAGAAAGGAATGTTGTTATGACGATATATCACCTGGCTCCATACAATCCCCCCTCCCAAGTTTCCCACAGTAGTAAATGTGGCAGGCCTGAAGGCCCAACAAAAAAGATGGCTTCCAGGCCTGACAGCTTGTGTGACCTTATTTTAATGCAATATTAGAAAATGCTTCCTTCATTGGAGGCCATGGTGATTTAGTTCTGAATTTCTTATAGACACACATTTTTTCAAAGATCCCTTTTCCCTTTTAATTTTTTTCCTCTAACATAAATGATGGGGGAATGCTTTTACAGTTGCTTCTGAACCAAGCCAGGTTCCCTCAGCTTTTCCTCACTGGAACAAAAGAAAACCAGTATTACTACACAAAAATGCTTCACAACTCCAGGTAACTCCATCGAAACAGCAAAGCTACCAACTATAAGGCTTCACAACTCTGATTATTTTTTTCTAGTGGCAAAATGTAAAACATTCTAGAATGCTATAAATATTCCCACCCTGTACATCACAGTTAAAAAACATTTCTCCACCTCTCTCACAATTTACACCCTGTAGCTAATTGTTAAAAGCCAGAGCTGCTAAAAATCAAACACTCTCAGAGTTAAAAGAAAACCTACTTGTGGGTATAATCTGAACTTTACCGAAAGAGCTTTTGTCTTAACCAATCAAAAGGAGAAATGGAGTACTGTTCCTTAGGCATCATATATTTTAATTCCAGAATATGGCACTAAGAAACTAAACTGCCAAAGGGAGACAGATCAGCAAATTGGGGACAGAGAATAAAGTTGAGGAAAGCCACACATTACTCAAACAGACTCAATATTAATCAAGCAAATCATCCATACCTTTGCCACAATGAATGCTATTCAGTAAAGTTTAAAACTGATTTGAAAACAATCAAAAGACAGGAAAGAAGACACCCATTCTTGGAGGATCTTAACTAAAGAATACTCTCAAAAGTTCTGGCTGACTTTTCACATAGACTTTAAAGCTAAAAAAGCATTCTAACAAACTTAGCATTATAGTTCTAGCAATCCACACTATTAACAACAAAGCAATTCCCATTTTTTCCCAAAATGACATGTATCAGCACATCAAAGACAGAACAAGTTGATCCAGTGTTTTCAACATGACTACCCACTCTGCTTACATGTACACAGTATGCATTAATCAGTACTTGAGTTTGCATATATTCTCCACAAAACAGTACTGTTTAAATTTTAAGTCACCTTCTTATTCTAAGCCACAAAATAATAAAACTGGCTCAAAATGGAAAGCCAACATTACAAAGCGCTGGATCTCTTATCCTGCCTCTCCTTGTATGGGACTTCAGTGCTATATTGTGCCTTTGTGCTATCTTAGAGAAGTGTCATTTTAACTGTAGCTTTGCTTACTTCACCGGGCAATAATATTGTGGAAAATTTTAATTTTAATTTATAGGTTTCCATTAAATCATCGTTCAAAGTTTTTTCACAGTTCTCTTGATTTTCTCTCAAGTGGGAGGGGAGAGAGGTGAATAAAACAGAATATTCATTGCTGTTTAGCTAACTTCACGAGGCCCATAAACAGAGCAAATGGATAAATGGCCAACTACTACTTTTGGGAGTGCAGTTATGCTATTAACAATGGAACAGGGGCTGGTAACAGACACAGACTATCTTGTTTTCCAGAATAAAATGCATTTTATAAACAACCAGTCCACATAAGAGTGTGAGTATTTTGCCACATATGCTTCCAGGGACAATTCTGAAACTGCCCAACATTGAAACTGCCCAACATAAACAGCATTATAGCCATTTAGTGTGGAACATCCATACTTTTTTCTTTTGGAAATAGAAACCTTCTACCCAAACACATACAATGGAAAATTTTCCAACACTACAATTTGCTTTTACTGAAGTCAAACAATATGAGGATCCAATATGCTTATGAGACTTGGAAATAGCAAAGTTAAAGAATTACTCACACAACTTGCTTGGCCATTGTTCACAAAATTACAGCCAAATGAAGCAACACACCTGCTTACACTTGCACGACAGACCCAACCCTAAACCATTCAGAACTAGATCCATATTGGTTGATGTTAGTTGCAAGTTGTGTCTAAAAACCATGACCGCAGCTTTTACTACACTTCTCTTCACAGATCCCCCCCCCACCAAAATCCCTTGGGCACAGAGAGCAGAGAATCACTGGAAGCTCAGCAATCCTCCCCCCCTCTTCAGAACCCAGAGTAGTCTTAAAAGGAGGAGGGAAGCCCCTCCCCCAAGAAACTGCCTGCATCCCTCCGCAAACCTTTTTCCTGACCATGAGAAACTTTTTGAAATTGGGCTCAAAGAAGCAGGTTGCATGCAGGGGGGGGGGGGTTCCCCATATTCACACCCACCCACCCAAAAAAATAACCCTTAGAAGGATGCAAATTGCTTTTTTGTTCCCTACAAACACCGCCCGGGAATTCAAACTACCTTCTCCTTTTCCAATACCGACTTGCAAATGTCTCGTTTAATGGCTCCTCCAGCTCTGGAAGGCCAAAAAAAAAAAAAAAGCCCTGTGGGAAGGTTCTCCCTTCTTTTACTCTACCTCCCCGTAGCTACCTCCACTCACTCCCACCCTGGGGGCCTTTACCTCCTTTGCAAACTGCGCCCGGCTCTCCCTTTTGCAGGTCTGCGGCGCGCGTGCCCCTTTAAAGGGATGCGGACCCAGAGCCCGCTGGCGGCTCCACGCTCTCCTCCTCCTTTTCCCCCCCCCCCCCGTCTGCACCCCCGCGGCGGCCCCCCCGCCCCCGGGCCCCCAAAAAAACCCCCCCACCACCACCAGCCGCGCTCGCGTGTCCCTCCCTCCGTCCCCCCCCCACGGGGCAAAAGGGGGGGGGGACGAGAAGAAAGAGCCGCGCGAGGGAAGCGAAGCCAAATGCCGCGTCGCCGTCGTCCTGCGCCATCGGCTCCCTCCCCCCTCCCCCCTCCCCTTCTCCCATCCAAGCCGCTCGGGAGCAACCGGACCCAGGCGGCGTCCCCCCCTCCCTCAGGAGTGCGTGTGTGTGTGGGGGGGAAGGGCAGGAGGCTGAGGGAAAAAAGGCGTCCCTATTCGTCGTCCGCCGCCCCCCCCATTTCCCTCAGGCGCGCCCCGCCGCGGCCCCCCCCGCCTGCCCGCCCGCCTCAGGCCCTACCCTTGGCGAGGGCGACGGTGGAGTTGTCTGTGTCGATGGTGTAGAGGATGCCCTCGTAGCGGATCTGCGCTTTGGAGATGAGGCTTATCTTGCTCCCGATATACGGCGTGCCCGAGCTCATGGCGTCGGCGGAGCGGGGGGGCCCGCCGGCGAGCTAGGGGGCTGGGGGGGGGGGGGGGGGGGGGGGGGCGGCAGGGGGGGCCCCGGAGAAGCGCCCCCCCCTCCCACGGAGTAAGGCGTCGTCTTCGGCGTTCTTCGTCCTCCTCCGTCGCACCTCCCCGCGGCTGACAGGCTGTCTCGGTGGCACGCGCGCCCTGCCGGGATAGAGAGAGAGAGAGAGAGCGAGCGAGAGACAGAGAGAAAGACCGACCCCCACCGGTCGCGCCTCCGCAGCGGACTGAGAAAGAAACCCCCTGCCGGCCGCTCCTTTTATAGACCGCGCGGGCAGATTTGCGGGAGGCGGAGAAAGGAACGAAGCGAAGACGACGGCGGCGGACGGGAGGGAGGGTGGGGTGGGGGGAGGGCGAGAGAGAGAAGAGAAGGCGGGAGGGGCCAAGAGGAGAAGGGCGGAGCCACGCAGGCGCCGCGGGCTGTCCGCGCGCGCGCGCCGGCCGGCTGGGGGGGGAGAAGCAGGAGGAGAAAGGGGCGGGGAGAAAGCAGGTAGGCGGGCTCGTTTGAGAAGGGAGGGGGGGAAGCGGAGGGGCGTGTCACGTGACGGCCCAGCTGCTGCCGGTTTGCAACGTGGGAGGGAAGCGGGGGGCGGGAGGGAATCTCTCCGGCGATGTTTGGAGCGCGGGAACCTGGTTTGCTGAACTGCGGAGTCTCTCCTCCTAACCCAGTTTTTTTTTTCCCCTCACATCCCTAAAACAACAACAACAGCAGCAGCAACAAAAAGGCGTGCAATTCCCCAAAACGCAAGCACACAAATTTAAGCGTGGTCAGCGAATGGGCGCAAGTTACGGCGTGCTAGTTAAGGAGATCGTGGGCTTAACTGGGTTATCTCTCTAGCAACTGGATTAGCCCAAATGTCCTTTCCTGCGGGGTTAAAGGAAAAAAATGGGTTGCTCGGTCAACCCTTTAATTCCTGGGGTTTGCGTGATGAAAGCAGGGACGCGGGGTTCAGGTTTGCACAAGCCGCCAAGCTCAAAAGGCTCAGCCGGTTTGTGCCCTGCACTACTATTCAGGTGAAAGGAGCTTATCAGATTCTGCTGGAAAAATAATAATAAATAAATAAAAGGCTGGGTAGGTGGTGAGGTACTATTTGATGGTGAAATTTACAACGCAGCTTCTTTCAGCATATTGGAGTGGTCGACTATTGCTACGACCTTTTCTCCTGAGCTAATTCAGCCAAATGTGGTTTATTTAATGCAGTTTAGTTAAACAAGTTAATTTACCCAAGCAACGTTTTTATATTCAGAGTCAATTATAATTAACATTTTAAGGTAGGTAAGAAATGAAGTATATCTCCTGGGAGTTGCAAAAGTAGAATCAAGCATTTTGGAAGAATGAGTGTGTTTGTGTGTTGTGCGTGCATGTGTGCCTGCGGGTATACACACACACACATTACAAAAATAGACCTGTATTACATCTGTAGACAAGGACCAGAAGACATGGCTGATATATACAGTATATGACATTGGTGATGATGTAATGGTGTCAAGTGACAGCAGCATCCGGAAGGAATATGGAGAAGATGGAAAAGTACCAGGCCTGAAGGAGGAACTGGAGAGGATGTGGAAACTCAAGGCCAAAATGGTCCCAGTAGCAGTTGGAGCACTTGGGGCTGTGACTCCTAATCCGAGCAAGTGTCTGCAACAGATCCCAGGAACGACCCTCAAACTCCCAGGCCCCCCTGGAAGAGGACCCAGGATTGCAGAAGACACAGACCACCTGGGTGAGAAGAGATTTCTATAAATATAAAACTCAAAGTAACAATCATAATAATTTGCTGTTCTTATTTTCCACACAGCAACATCCCTCTGAAGTGAGTTGGGAGAGAATAATTGGCCCAAAGTTACCAAGAGGTCTAGAATTTACAGTCTCTAGGTTTCTAAGGCAGTATCTTCACACCTACATCAAACTGACTCTCAATTGACCAAAACCCATATTTTTAAATTTTTTTTGCTTTAATTTATATGCCGCCCTTCTCCGGAGACTCAGGGCGGCTTACAATGCGTTAAGCAATAGCCTTCATACTTCTGTATATTTATACAAAGTCATCTTATTGCCCCCACAATCTGGGTCCTCATTTCACCTACCTTTGAAAGGATGGAAGGCTGAGTCGACCTTGAGCCTGGTGAGATTTGAACTTGCAGTAATTGCAAGCAGCAGATGTTAATAACAATGCTTTAGTCCACTGTACTACAGGCTCCTTTAAATTCAGTTTGCTTCAACAGATGACCAAAGAACATGTACCATTTCCTTAATGTTATTTTTTATAATGATTTATAAAATGATCAATGGAATTTGAAGCTGTTTTGCATTAATTGATTCCCAGATAATATAAACTGTTAACATTGGAATAAGACGTGTTAGAAATAGGTGGGATTGTCTATATACTATTTCCACCCATCCCAGAAGAATGAAAGTTTAGTTGGAAATACATCTGCAATGTCCAATTTTTAAAGGGTAGTTGTGTTAATCTTTCGCAGGAAAACAATCTTGTACGGTACTTTAAATGCTAATTTGTAAGAACATCTTTTGTGGATGAATAATAATCAGCCAGGCACATTGGCTGCACTTATCTAACATGCTAACTTTAAAGTGTGTTTAATAAATATATAGGATTTCATGGTATATATTCTCCCTCTATTCACACTTCTTAAATGAAGCTTGCAGAATCACAATATACTTTATCACAAATCTCAGGGCAAAAAGCTTCATGCTATGAGGAAGTTGTGGGTGTCTCTATATTTGATAACTAAGCTTTTATGGGGTTGCAAATCAGCTAAGATCCAGTTTAGGTGAAGATTGTCAATTCTAAATGGAAAAAAGTCTTTAGAGGCATATGTAAACATTTGTCAATCAATTTGGAACCATCTGATTTGATCTGACATCAATTCAGCTTTAAGATTTGCTTTGAAGAGATGATTCAAATTTTCTTTGAATCAAATCTTTGGACTGGGCTAATAGCTTTACCATGTGTTATGTAAATACAGAAAGTAGGTTGGATCTAGTAAGGTAGTTTGTACATTGAAATCAGTGGGATTTAGGTAAGCAACATCTTCAACCAGGGCATAGCATTAGGTACAAAAAAGATCACTATTTTAGCTTGTTGCAGAAATAAGTCAATACTATTTTACTAATGGCAGTAGAGGGACAAAATAGTTTTCTCCCCACAAAATTCAGTGAGTATGAGTTTTACCACTAGCCAAGAAACAATGTTTTTGTTCAAAATGGCAGTGACCACCTGATTTTCTTCTCAAATCCTTTTACTGGTGGGATGAACATACTAGCACTTAGCAATAGTGCTTAGACTTCTATACTGCTTCACAGTGCTTTTTACAGCCCTCTTTAAGCTGTTTACAGAATCAGCATATTGCCCCCAACAATCTGGGTCTTCATTTTACCGACCTCGGAAGGATGGAAGGCTGAGTCAACCTTGAGCCTGGTGAGATTCGAACTGCATTCTAACCACTGCGCCATTGTGGCTCATACTAGGTTGGTGGTCTATTTTTGAACAATCATGAAACATATTTTTCAACTTTTTTTGAGCACTGTTTATTTTGGTTGTATCTAGTTTTGGTTGTATCCAGGTGTATTGGGTTTGAAATTCTGAGAACTGAAGTCCAATAATCCACCAGAGTGGGAGATCGTTAAAATACAGTAGTGGCCAAAATTGTGGAAACCATTTGGGAAAACTGTATTTTTGAGGTTTGATAGCTAATAACACCACTTTTTTTTTTGGAGTTTCAAGATAATCATATTCCACTGCTGGAATGGCCTGGGAATTGCCCAGACCTTAACCCACTTGAAAATCTATGGAGCCAACTAAAGAAACTCGTTAGTCAAAAGCGACCCAGCAATAAAGCCCAGTTAATAGAAGCAATCATAATAATAATTGTTTCACATTATAACAGCTGCAGAACTCAAAGACTTGGTTCACTCCATGGGAAGATGTTGTAAGACCGTCATTCATGCTAAAGGTTACCCAACTAAGTATTAACTGACATGGTGATAATTTTTGTATATATCGTTTTTTCTATGGTGATAATTTTTGTATATCTCATTTTTTTCTACGTGTTTCACTTTTCTTCTTTATACTGTAACTGGTGTTCTAATAGCAAATCCTTCATAAAAGTTATTGCATTACGTTCTTGATTAAATTATCTTTCCATTGATATATAATTTTATGGTACTACTCCTCCCCCAAAAATTGTGGTGTTAACTAGTTTTAGAAAAATATACTTTTCCCAAAAGGTTTCCATAATTTTGGCCATTACTCTGTCTGTCTGTGTGTCTGTCTGTGTGTCTGTCTGTGTGTCTGTCTGTCTATCTATCTACAGTATCTATAATATCTATGTCTGTTTGTTTGTCTATCTACCAGGGTGGATAAAAATCAATGATTTTTTTAAAAAAATCAAAAAAATCAGATTTTTTTTATTTTTATCAAATTTATTTTAATAAAAAACTTGGGGTAAAAATCTATCGTAAGATAGTTTTCTATTTAAGATACATAAATAATTTAGTTTATTCAGCATGAAATGGAGCTTAGTTATGTAGCATGAGGCTGTATATTCTGCAACATTGGGACTATTGGTGAGTCAACAATGGGTCAAAGGAGTAGCAGAGATGACAGTTGCTCTTTAAAAATTATGATTTAAATCGAGTTGATTTAAATCAAGCCTTTTTATTAGTGATTTAAATCATGATTTAAATTGTGATTTAAATCAACTCGATTTAAATCAAATCCACCCTGCTATCTACAGTATCTATAATAAATATATCTATCTATCTATCTATCTATCTATCTATCTATCTATCTATCTATCTATCTATCTTATATATATATATATATCACTGACCTTGAAGAGTAGGTTGTATTGACCCTCAATAGCAAAACAGAAGACTTATTAAGTCACATCTCATAGCAGACATAGATTCCATGGGGTTAAATGGAACCTAAGTTTGACAAGAGTGGCAATT